GTGATCCTGAGTTTGAGCCTCAGTACCGAAAAACATTTTAAAAGTTCACTTAAAGGAATAAACTGATTCAATATAGAGCTCATAGCATGAGGATCCTCTTAGAAATCAGTATTTTTCAAAATTTCATAAAAGAATTACTGACTTGATATAAACTGTATATAAACATTAATATATACTTTCAAATTTGGTTAGAGGTCCATATTGGATTTCATTTTAGTTTTGGTATGAAAGATTGAATCTAAGACCTTCACATTGAGCTACACCCTCAGACCTTTTTTATTTTTTATTTTGAGACAGGATTTCACTAAGTCAGTAAGTTACTCAGGCTGAGCTTGAGCTTGTGATCCTCCTGCTTCAGCTTCCCAGAGTGCTGGCATTACTGTCATTTGCCACCACTGTGGGTGCATCGCTTGAATTATAGATTAATGCAATAAATACGTATCACTACCTTTAAGCCTCTTCTGTTTTGGAAGCAAGTAAGATTTCTCTTACCAATAGCTTTTTTTTTTTCCCCCTGTATTTAGGACAGGATCTACAGGGTCTACAGGGTCTCACTAGGTAGATCGGACTTGTAGTGATCCTCCTGTTTTCAGCCCCACAAGGGCTGGGATTACAGGTGCACACCACCATGCCCAATCTCAATTGCCCTCTCAGGCGTCCCCACTCCCATGCTCTGCCTAAGCAGGAGCTTTAGTCCACTGAGCTAGCCAGGCCGGCTGTCTTACCAATAACTTTTTAAAACCATGATAGAATTTATGGAAATTTGGAAAATAGAGAAAAAATTGCTTTCTGCTCTAATACCATAATTTCTGATATTTTGGTATATATCTTTTCTATCACTTTAAAAACATTGCTATAAGTAAGACATGTAATTTTGAATCCTCATTTATAAAAACATATTGCAGGCTGGGGAGATGGCTCTATGGCTTAAGTACCTGCCTGGCAAGTGGAAAGTCCTGAGTTTGATCCCCTATACCAAACACCAAAAAAAAAAAAAAAAAAAAAAGAAAAGAAAAAGAAAAAGAAACCAACAGATTGCACCATACACGTTTTCAACAGTCTTTCAGAGGAAGTCTGGGTGTGCTCAGGGTCATGTGACTGTGGATTCAACATAGTTTTTCTAGTCACAGTTTTATTAGACACACATCAAAACTGGGCTTAACTTATTCCGTGTTGTTGGAATACAGGCTGCTTTTATTTTGCACTAAACATATTAAAATAAAAATCTTGTTTGTGTTTTTATTTTCTACGTCCTGTTTTTAGCTACATCTTCCAGTAGAGTGGACGAGTGTCTGTATAGTGGATGCTCAAAAAAATTCTTGACTGGATCTTTATTTTCTTAGGACCGACTTCAGAGATCATATAGTAGATTTAAATAGTTTACCTGTGCAATGTCTCACAATAAATATCACTGTTATGAAAAAGTATTGAGAAAAAATTCTGTGTTGTGGAATATATTGCCAAATGGATTATGGAAAGATTGTGACAATATATGAGGCGTCAGCACTATAAAGTAATCCCATAAATACTCCTTGTGTACCTGCTGTGGTCCAAGAGTTGTTTAAAGTACTAGAGAACACTGAATATTACAATGTATATTACATAAGTGAACATTATTATTACACCTTATTGTATAGTAAAACATCAGGTAGTAATAACAGATATAAAGGAAGACAAAGCAGGCTAAGGTGACAAGGGAGTAAGGGTGTGCTTTCCTGGGCAGTGTGGTCAGGAAGATTGTAGAGACAACACAGAGCTTGAAGGAAATGAGGTGACACCCAGCATGAGTGGCACAGCTGGCAGGGAGACAGGAGCAAGAGGCGACGAGAGTGAGCACTTCTGCATACAGTGAGTGTTCAACAGTCTGAGTGTTACCTTTTAAAATGAAATAGGAAAGATACATTTTACTCTTGTTCTATTTCTTTTGTGGTGGTATGGAATGGCTTTCCCACTCCCTTACTAGCGTCTGGGAAGGATAACAATAGTGGAAGAGCTGACAATTATAAAGCTCTCATCATGTATAAGGCAGTGTAATGCAGTGTTATCAAACTTGTAGAATAACACCGTGAGATATGTTATTATTTTAAGGAATAAGTAGTTCTCTATAAAGTGGACCATCAGTGAATGTCTGTGTATGTAGGGAACAGGACAGATGCCTGAAGTGCACTGTAGGGTTCAGGCTCTGAATCCAGATAAACCAGCACTAATATCTCATGCAGCTTCTACACAACAAATTTGTGTTATCCTAACAATTGTATGATTCTATACTTGTTTCACCCTAACTGCAAGCTATGTTCTAAGACCTTGCACTACAGTTTCTAGATTTATAAGTTAAAATCCAGAAATGTCCATTCCATTTTCTGTAAGATCAAGCTTTAAAAATATTACAGAGATACCTCTATTTAGCACACATATAGCCACCACTGCACGTGTTCCCTTCTACAGACCAGGATTGTTTCAGAGCCCTCATTTCTTGGGGTGCAGCTCTTGCTAATGTTGTGTGCAGCAGTGATACACGCTGTTTCTCAGACAAGGAGCCACCAGCTCCCCAGGTTCCTGGAAATTGGTACTTACTGGCAACACTCACTTGAACTGTTAAAAAAAGTACTTTATTGTTAAATTAACATTTTAATTATTTGTTGTAGCACCAAGTACATTTAAAAATTTAAAAAAATTATCTATCTGTTTATTTATTTGGTACAAGGTCTTGCTACACAATTCAGACTCCCCAGCACTGGGATTATAGGTGTGCACCACCATGCCCAGTTTCAGTTGCCAGCCTGGTGCGGGGCTAGCACAGCATGCAGTACTGGGGATCGAACTCAGGTCCTTGCACTTGCCAGGTAAATAGTTTAGCTCCCCAGCCGTTAAGAACATTTCTTAAAGATTCTGAACCCCATAGCTTTCTTTTCAGTGATACATTTTATGGTGACAAGTCCTTAAGATTAAAAGATAACAGAACAGCTGAGGAGGTGGCGCAGTGGTACAGCATTTGCCTACTCTGATTTTAACCCCTGACACCATGAAAAACAATGGCAAACACTGGCCTGGAATGTTAGTGCTACGGTTCCAGCTACCTTGGAAACGAAGGCAAGAGAATCCTGAGTTTGAAGCCCACCTAAGCAACATAGGTAACGTAGCAAGACTCTTACCTACAATAAAAGTCCTACAAGAAAGAAGGAGCAGTTAAAAAATTTGTGGGCCACCACTCCTAACGTTGACATTGTACTTTCTTTGCTTAAGTATTTTGATATTTTATACTTATTTCTGTAAAGTTCAGCAGTGGGTTAAATTTGGTTCCTCCAAAAGTAGTGTTGAAGTCTTGACCTCCGCTTTGGGTGATTGTGGCCTTCTTGGGAAATAAGGTCTTTCTTTGTACATGCAGTCAAATTACAATGCGCTCATGATGAATGAGGATTATCACTGATATACTTCTGCAAAGAAGAAAGTTTGGAAACAGACACAAAGGGAAAACATCAAGTGAAGCAGAGATTAACACTTGAATGTTGTAGCTTTAAGTACGTTTCTTATGTACTTTCTTGTTCCCACAAGAATTCCCAAGAATTACTGGCAACTGCCAGAAGCTAGGAGAGACATGGGAAAAATACTCCCCCGTGAAATCCAAGAGGGGCCAGCTACAAAAGAGTAACTTTTTGTTGTTTTGAGATACTCAATTTGTAGCAATCTGTAGTGACAGAGCTAGGAAACTAAATCACACACAAATACATTATAGCACAGGCACTTTTTAATTTGAAACATACTTTTCAGTAAAGGATGAACAGGCTATTGTGGAATTCCTCATAGGGTCTCAACATTCACCCTCAATTCAAGTTCTAGTAAAGTCCAACATAAAATTACAATTATCTTGTTTCAAATTTTCCCATTTTTAAAGAGATTGTAGTTATTGTTTGGTGACTCAGTACAGCCTCCCTTAATCATTTAAATTAGCAGCACAGGGTTGATTTGTACAAGTCTCTGGTCTCTGCTCTGAAGGCTGAGGCAGAGAACCCTGTGCATGACTATGAACCCAGCTATTGAGGGGCGGGACGCAGAGGTTCACAACCAGCTTAAGCGATTTAGCAAGATTCTAACTGGAAATAAAACAAAAAGGACTGGGCATGTGGCCTGGTGGCAGAGACTTGCTTAGTGTGTAAAAGGTCCTGAATTCAATACATAGTACCACTACCACCTGGCAAAAGAGCTGCAAAGAGAGCCGGCCAGCTTCTAGGTTTTTAGGCCACGTCCTCGAACTGCAAAAGGAGAGTGTGATCTGTTCCAATGTTTCTCCGGAAGCTCGTCCACCACTCCTCCTGGGTTTGCTGGTGCATCGAGTGAGGCCTGTTTTCTTGTCAACACTTGGGGTTGACGTGAAAACCGACACTTCTTTTGGAAGCAGGGACTCTACTCATATGCCTTAATTTTCTCCGATTGAAAGAGGTTCTACAATTTCAGGCTATCTTCCAGAGAGAATGCAGAAAGGGTAGCGAGCCGACACACATCAGGACCCTGCACTGGCGGTGTTGACATTGTATGCGGGTCTCTTCTGGTACTGCTCTCAACATAAACCACATCCTCAGATTAGCGCTAGCAGAAAGCAAAGGCTAACACAAGTCATTCGTCCTAACATCTGCATTTGTGATGTTTCACTTGCTACATCAAAAGCTCCTTGGGGAAAAGACAATACAAGAATGAAAAAAATTAGAATTTATGAGTAGAAAGACAAACGAAAAAAGAAAACGAAGATTCTTCTTCCCAAGTGCCCTTGCGCATGCCAAGCGGGGTTAAAATCACACTGACGACCCCGGTGGGTTTTACAAGCTCCGACTTCTGCATTCGGCAGCTCCCACGGACAGAAAGCAACGCTACTCACTGCGCAGGCGCAGGCTCCGCAGGCCCCCCCCCCGGGAGTCTCCGGCGCAGTCGCGGGCCGGGAAGTGGGCGGGCTCGGCGCGTGCTCCGCGGCGCACTTCCGGCCGACCCCTCCCCCGCGGCCCTTCCCCCTCCCGTCTCCTCCCCGGCCTCTCCCTCAACTCTCTCCACCCCTCGTGCTCTCCGCCCTGCTGTGCTCCCTTCAGTCCCTCTCCGCCGGTTCCACCCAGGTCGCTGCCGGCTGTCTGTGAGCTGGACGGGGTGGCGGCTGCTTCTCTCCGATAAAGTTTCTCAGGGGCCGGGGAGGGGAGCGGCGGCCCGGACGGCAGAGGCGCCCAGTTGTCGCCGCCCGGCTGAGAGAAAGGTCCGGCCGCCTGAGCCCTGCGCCGCCGCGCCGCCGGGAGCGTCTGCCCTGTGTCCCGACTCCCCTGTCCTGCGGGGCCGGTGAGTCGCTGGCTGCGGGTTCCGGGGTGAGCGGCGGCGGCGGGGCTGGGCAGGCCGGGCTGG